GGCTTGATGGTTTGACTTTCTACGCTTTTCTGCTCTGATCAATTTCTAGTTGAAATTCACAATTTTTCGGCAACATTAGGTGCATATTAAGCAGATTATGCTAAGTGGGAGAAGGGGAGGGAAATGGAACTAACCGTATTTATTCTGTCGGCACCGGGCTTCAGCCAGCAATGTGCCAACAACTGTTACTACTATAACATAGTTACCTTTATTCTACTCACTAATTAAATGTTCTATCTGATTCAACAAATCTCGGAGAACTTTCCATTAATTCTTAATAGTTCTGAAGTTTCAAGTATACATCCATTAACTCCTATCATGTGATTAAGAACAAAATTATTCAAGTACGACTACTTTATGTCATCTGCACCTTTTTGCCAAATGGTGCATTAATGGTAATCATTATGCGCTGTTTTTAATGAAAGTGAAGTTATTTCAACTGAACTTTCATTTAAAATGATTTTGCAAAAATATTTTCTCCAAAGTCATTGAAATAAACAGCTAAAATGAGACATAATGACCGTGGAGGTTCTCTAAACTATTTCTGATATTTCCAGAGGATGGCCGAAGACGTTGTTTTGCCTGATTGTCTTCTTAATTGACATGAATTTTTAAAAAACTGCTGGAGACAAACCACGATTTTGAGAGTCTTTTGGTAGCTGTAATTGATATATTTATAAATAAATACAATTTAAGCGAATTACATTTTGTGATTCTTCGTTAAGCTATAAACCCTGAACTGTGTTCATCATTTTTAACAGCTTAAATTTCTCTCAACAGCTCTCCTTCGATTGTGATATCTGTTCAAGAAATGTTAGAGTCAGTGAGAGTCAAATATTAAAAAGCATTTCTAGACGTAAATTTCATGAGTTTTTTTAAATTATAAGTGTCTTTTTCCATCATCCGTACTTCAAATTCTTCACTTTTTCCCGCTAGATTATCTTCTTCTATCATGGAATTTTACAAAATTGCATTTCCATTCTACTGACTGTGCTCGCGCTGTACTATTCTGATGTCGTATCAGATTTAAATGATAGATAATTTTTCTCAGACTTGGTGCCTCAATGGGCGACCGTGAAGTTGAGCTTAAAGAAACGCCTCCAGCGGCGGCGGATACTCCACCTTCTCCGCCAGTCTCTGCTGTGCCGCCAAGGATGGTGGAAGAGAGTGTCGCAGAGACTGGATCTAGCCCACAAGCCGGCCAGGTTGAGAATCTTCCACGTGGTGGACGAAGAGTCAGCTCGATTGAGCCCGTCAAAGGAGCTCCACCTCCAAAGCGGGCTTCCGTAGTGGTGTTCGAGACACCTGACACACCACCAGCGCAAAAGTACGTAATCTTTCAGCATTCACCACATCCATCCACAAATGCTAGAAGAAACGAACAGTATTTGCCACATTGAATTAGCATCTAGGTGGACGAGAATGCGTAAGCGTTAGTGATTAATGAGCTGTCTAACTCGGATCTCTAACGATATGATGGGTCGCGTCGTCGTCGGCCGTATAGTTCTAATCCATATCCCTGTCGTATCATAATGTTCCCTGCTGTAATCAGAGCCCTTCACTTTCTTCGAACACATTCCAACACGAGTATCAACGTCATTTTTTCACTTTTTTATTCCAATCTTATGGCAGCGATATCACCAGTACTATACACATGCAAATTTACTTTTGTGTCATATAATTTTCTCAA